TGCATAGTGATAAGTGTATGGCATGTAACGAGGACAACGCTAGAGGCGCAATGGGGATGTTAAACCTTTGTCATTGTCTGGTCTTTACTCTGGCTGGCTGACCGCGCCACATAGACCAATAGGAAGTCAAGGCTTTTTGAGAATTTCAGAAGTGCTTGAAGCCCAAGTATTGTCACGTCTTCAAGTTAATTAAACTCTGGAGCTTCCAAACATTTCAGGCGTGGTTTTGATACCGCTGGACAAAGACCTAGGATGTGTTCTCGCGTTTTCTTTGTTCCCGCCCCCTAACTTCGTTGACAGGGTTTCCCATTTTCTTTGCGTGTACAGCCAACATTTTGTGTCCGGTTAGAACACTTATCATAATTCTGCAGTCTCTTTGTGGCAGCGATGTAATGTAATGTAATTTTTTTTGGGTGCAACGGAAACAGGGACACCACCCAAGAAGTTACTAGGCTCCCTTATAAAAGCTTAAAGTATCTTGGTAAAATTTCTAACCTTAAGGGCATCGACTGTGGAAGAACTGAAGTATTGCGGTCTTAATCTCGCGCTAATGCTAGACATGATGTTCTCCGACGTCTCTTCATCTGCAAAGACGGCAATTCGTCTATATGGAGGTGGTTATGGCTGGTAAGATGTTGTCTCTGTTCAAGAGATTTATATCTTTCCTAGCAAAAGGATAACCAGAAAGTCTGGCCTGTCTAAGGCATAAGCCGGGTTTGTATCTCGTTTTTTTAGTCAACACGCGTCTTTAGAGATTTTGCAGGTTTTTAGCGCCTTTTATCTCGATATAGCCTGCCGTTTCATACCCTCGTCTATCTGGTAATAAAGGTTTTTAGAGGTTTTGGAATATTATTCTCTTATTCTAGATCTCATCTACTATTTCGTTACCTGTAATGTCCTTGGAGTCTGTTGTGACTATGTATCCTTTGGCTATTGAGCTATGGGCAGTTTTAATTTGTTTGAACTTCCTTGCTGCAATTAGTGTTCCCGCAGACTTAGCCGCAAAGCTCCTTGCCGCAAGGTCGATAGATGGTTATATTGAGTATTTTTTGTGACGCAGCCGTTGGAGTTGTTTCCATTGCTCCCGTTTTACACAATAATGAGAGACGTTGAACACTCTCCATTAGCTTCAGATAGGTACTGATTTCTGTTGCGGTCCACCACCAGGGGATAGGCTTCAATTAACACCCAGCATCTTTTTGCAAGCGTGGAGCGAATTACTCGCATTTTTCACTCTGTCCTCTACATTGCACTTCCACTGCAGTTTACAGTACAGGATTACCCCGAGGTACTTGGTGCGGTCTTTTGTCAGTGTGAGTTTGGTACTGTTCAATTGAAGGAGTGTCCACATAGGAATTTTTTAGTTTCTTGTAAAAAGTAACATATCTGTTTTATCTGTATTAATCCCAAACCCTGCCCGAGTACTCCATAGGTAAACAAACGTTAAATTTCTGCCGAATGCTCACTAGGTTTCCCTATCAAACCAACTATACACAGATGATAGGAAAACGGTTCTGCGTTTTTCTAAAATTAATTTTTACTTCCAAAGGAGACATTTCCTAAAGTCTCTCTTTTAAAATCCTTTTCCCTTTTCAAATCGGTGAAGTATGTACATATGTACATTATTTAACACCAATAAAATCCCGCTCCTCATCGAAAGAGTTTTCTTTCCGCCGAAAACACTTTCTTCCACGGCGCATTCTGGCCATTTAGTTCATATTGATTTCCCATTAAAATGATAAGATCTCGCAAAACGGCGGCACCATTTAAAATATGACATTAAAAATAATTCGCAAGAAAACCCCCCTTATGCCGCCTCAAGGCAGACATCGCTTCATGCGCAAGTTAACAGCGAAGCCTTTAGGAGTAACTATGAAATGCGTGTTAGTGGGTGCAAAAAAAATTCGGAAACTAATGACTCCGGTTATTACAAAAAAGGAGGAGTGAAAAAGGTAAGGCCAAAAAATTTGCATAAATTATAACTACCCAAATCGACAAGGTGCCATTATGTACCTGTAAAGCAGCTTAAGAAAAAGGTGTCACAGTAGTAGCAAGAAAGAAGTAAAAAATTTTAGAGAGAGCAAACTGGTGATAAAGGAAGCACCGTCACATTGATTTATTGCTGGCGAATGACACTTTACATTAAATGTGTGCAAAAATTCAATTACAACAATTTTATAAATCAATTTGAATTTTACAAACAAATTTCTTTATTGGAAATTGAAAACCATTCACTTGGAAATCAAATCGTACATTTTTGACAACGCCAACAACGAAAAGTTGCTGCATCAAAGGCATTGGAATTGCTTTTAACGGAGATGCGGCAGGAGTCAAAGGTGTGTCATATTGCACGCATGAAAAGTGCCCACTCTAGTTACGCGTACTTCACTTCATCATTTCCCCCTTTACTCCTTACCGCTTTGTTGTTGTTGTTGCTGTAGGCGAGTAGTATTGCATTGCTCATTGCACATTTTTATGAGCAATTCGTGCAACTACCAACAAACTATGTACATTGGAATGTCTTTATGACGCCTGCCATTGGCAAGGCATGCTTCTTCCTCTTCTTCTTATTATTTTTCTTGTTCTTATTCTTGCTTTGGGCTCTCGTTCTTATGTGCGTCGTGTGTGCTTGCCTTGAAGCTGTTGACTTTTCTGTATGCTCAGCACGTTGCTGGCAATGTCCGATTTTTAAGTTGTTGCAGCAGAAATCACGTAGCCGAGTTGGTTCTCTTTGCTTTTGCCACATTGGAAGGGTAAATAATGTCGATGATTTGAGTTGAGATTTTCGCACGAACTGGAGAATACGAATGCGGAATTGCATTATCTGGCAAGTGCATTATGTGCACAGTGGGATGATTAACAACAAATTGTAAACAGAAAATGTAACTGTAAAATGAGTGGCTGATCTTTTTAGACAAAGAACAAAGACAAAGAAACATTTTTGGTATCATACAAGGCGATTAGCCGGCCAGTTCTAAATTATCAACGACATCTACCTACACAAACGCACGCTCCTTGAATATCGTAATTGGAGTTCAACCACGACCTATACGCGAAACTGTCACGCATCTAAGGTCTGGATATGGTTGACTACGACATACCCAACACATTTCGGGCTTGTGGAGGTTCCCCACACGTAGTTACCTCTTCAATTGCTCGTCAAACTCACTCAGCTGACATCCCTCTCCTTTCAGTCCCAACCCGTCAAGAGAGCAGGTTTCATATGCCGTGGCCATGGATTAGTTGAGCTTGGCAACAACGCTTGATAGACCAACTGATTTAGGCAGGGCTAAGTATTGCCGCTACGATAACAACAACAACAATTGTAGTCGCCCATTAATTCTCAACGCATTCATGGTTTACCCAATTAATGCCGGACATTTCTTCAGGATGTCCAAACAATGTCCAACACTCATTATACTCAAACTCTAAACACTCGATAAAGATATCCAGGGTCTATAAGGGCCGGTAAAGTAATGAAATTGTTTATTCGTATAGCACCAATGGGCACTGTTGTATGGTTAACGCCATGAAAGTTTGATTTTTGCAGAGCTTTGATATGTATTACGCGGTTCTGTTTGTCAATTGAAATTATTTTTATCTGGGGAATAATAATAATTGCACTGCGGCCTATATGCATAGATCTATTGTGCTAATCATTTCAAAAATCACTCCAACTTAGGCTATTTGTTAAATTAGGCACTTTAGAGGACGAAGTCTTTTATCGCAGTGCATGAGCCTTGGCCCAAAATACGTTCAAAATGTCATAATAAAAGTATATGATGAGGCGTTTATTCCGCTACCACCTAAAACCTGCAGTCCGTCACTGAAGAAGGTCCTATCTTGCTAAGTTGGTACAACTTTAAGAGTTTAGTGAGGTAGCCATTGAGAGTCCTTGGCGCTGCCCCGGCCATTATCTATGTAATTAAGATTCATCAGTATACCGAACTTGAAGTAGAAGGATACTTTCGGAAACATTTTGTCTTTAAGTTTTGACGACGGTAATTTTAAAACCCCAAGTAACGCCGAACTTTACAATCTTTATGCTCACAAATTTGTGCAGTACACATCCAAACTTATAGCAATAGCATCAGAAAAACGGCTCAGAGGTCGGAAGAACACGAATAATATTGATGACAACTCGAGTCTTATTTACCATTGTTCGGACGATAAGGTTATTACAGAACATTTTCTTTGCAGCTGTTCGGCCATCGTCAAACTGAGCAAAGACTTTTTTTTATCAGATGTATTGAGAATAAACGAGCTGCTTTCTTATTTTTTTTTGTGGTATATTTTTCCAGGAATATTTAGTTGTAAAATTTTATGATAAAAATACTCAAGTAAAACTTTGGCACATTAAAAAAACAGAAAACTTTAAAATGGTTCACAGCTTACTTATGAGCGGAAACACTTTTTCAAAAGCATGTTTCTCTTGGTCCTGAAAGGGTTAACAACAATGGTCTTCGCTTTCATTTTCCTTTTCATTAAATACAAAATAACGCCACTCATTCCAATTAAGTTTGGTTAAATAAATTTCATTGCACCTTTGAACACTGTACCGCACACAATCATTTAATGTACCGCAAGAACACTTAACCCATTTGGAGATGGTTTGCCAGAATGGCTAAAAGGATTTACCATTAATTCTTTTTATTTTCCTACTCCTAAGGCAATAGCAATTTTATGATTTGTTTATAGCTGATTGCATGGCTGGTTTGTTGAATCTAAAGATAAAGTCGAGAGCAGAATTTTTTGTTTAAATTGCTTTTATTTGCTAACTAAACAAGGAAAATGAATTGCGTTTGTGAAGATAATAATAATAATTGGTTAATAACTGCATGATAAGTAGCGCAATGGTAGTCGCATAACAAATGAGTAGGAAAACTAAAAACAAAAACACACAAACAATAAAGAGAACTCCAATCTCTTGAAATCGTGTTAATCTTATTAACAGTCACAGCACAGTCTTAAGCTTCCACAAAGCTTCCATCATCAATGACTTAGTATCCCCAGTGGGTGCCAAAACCATCGAAGCTCATGTGCGACACCATCTCGGCGGGCGAATAGTGCACAGTCTGGCTGGAACCGTAGGCAGAAACACCGGGCGAATTATGAGTGTAGCTGGCGCCAGCTGGTCCATGATTGTAGGTGGTAGTGGCCACAGCTGGAGCAGCATGCTGATGGTAGACAGGAGCTGGAGCAGCATAGCTGATGGTTTTGGCGACAGCTGGGGCAGCATATACAGGAGCTGGTGCTGCGTAAGTCAAAGCTTTGGCCACAACAGGTGCAGCATAGCTGACCGTTTTGGCCACCGGCGCGGCATGAGTGTAAACAGCAGCGGTTGGCTGCAGTTCTGGATGAGCATAGACAGCAGGTGTGGCCTCATGATGCTCATAAACCGTCTGCGATGGAGCAGCATAGGTGACCGTCTTGGCTACAGCTGGTGTATAGACATTATTGCTGATGCGTGTGTCGGATTTGTGTACACTGGAGTAGGGTGTCTCAACGTTCTTCGAATAGTGGGAGACAGTACCGTCGAAAGAACGTACCACATTTTGGTGTGTCGAAGCAACAGCATCCACCGCAGGATTGGCGACATGTGCATAGGTGATGGGTTGCAAAACGCCGGCGCTAACAACAGCCAGTAGAGTTGAGAGTAGTACGACTTTGAATGCCATTTTTAAATGAGTTGCGTTGAAGTTTGAAATATTCGTATGTGTTGCAAATAAGTCGCTGTAATTGAAACTGATGCTGTTGCCAATGCGCAGTGGGCGTTTTATAGTGATTGCGTGAATTATTCAGTTCCAAGTGGTTTTTTAGGTTGAAGTTAACAATACTAAATGCTCTATTTCTCAGCAAAATTGGTTGACTTTGACTTCGCGCAATACTTTTTGCTCTTACTCTTTTGGCTCGCTTCGTTATAAATCAAAGCAAATTTTTTCAATGTTACACATTTATCGAATGAAAGGAATGGCAATTAAGTAATCTTGCATTTCTTTATATTCGTACTTATACATATGTATGTACATAGGCATGTATTGATATATTTTTATTGCCTTAATTTATTTCGCATTACCTTTCCCATATTTTATCAGCTCGTGCGTGCACTTGTCATTTGTATCGCCGCTTGAATGGCGGTGGCATAACTAATCAATTTTGCCACCTATAAATCTGTTCAAATACCTCGTTCGCGGCCATGCACGATCAGTCAATTTGGCCCAATGACCGGCAGCAACACCTACTTACCAAGACTGTTGGTCAGTATGGCAAGTACTGCTAAAGTAAAAAGTATAAACAAATTTTGTCTTTCAAATTCTTTCATAGTCTTCTTTCTACTAAACAGGTTTCTGCTTTTCTACTTACTACTTTTGCAATGCTTTCGGATAATAAATCGGCCCTCTAAGTCATTAGGCCGCAATCTGCAGTTTCTACTAAGACATCCATAGTCCCCTACGCAAAAAAAAAGAGCGCTGAAGAGGATGGGAAACTTAACCTTGGATGAGGTCGCGGTCAGCGATGCCACAGAAGTGAAGTACCTGGGAATTATTCTGCACTCCAAACTCCTGTGCAGGATTCATGTAGAGGCTAACGGTGTGCAAACGTCTAGCGAGCAAATCCTAAAAATCCACTCGAAGGATGGATGTACACCATTTTTCCCATTATGTCTGCTCCCTAGAGATTATATCCATAGAGTAGCAATTTTCGAAAGAAATTCTAAAGTTTATACGTACAGCAAGGCGACCTGGAGTATCTCTCTGATAAAAAGACAAATCCAGGCGAGCATACAACCATGGAAGGCAGACAGCTCTAAGACTCCTGAGGGTAGTGGCATAGGTGCATGTGGCCCCAAACTGAAGCTGTGGCTATCCCTGGGCACCTTTTTAAGCAACATCCAAGCGGAAGTCTATGCTATCAGTCGGTATGAAAAGATGAACCTTCGCAGGAACTATCGAAGTGGGAGGATCCTTGTTTTAAGTGATAGTCAAGTGGCACTCAAGGTTCTGTCATCCTTTGAGGTCAAATCCTCAGTGGTCCTCGCCTGTGTGGAGAAGCTTAATGCCCAGGCCCAGGAGTATCAAGACACATGGGAGTAGAAGAAAATAAGTAAGCCGATCAGTTAGGCAGTCGATGGGGAAGGAAAACACCAAACTGAGGGGGCTACACTGGCGTAACACGACAGGTCTTCGTCAAGCTAAAAGCATACTCGGAGCGTATAATCTAAAAATGTACAGGCTACTCATGGGTATCCCTAAGGAGAAACTAAGAATCATTACAGACATTTTGACGGGTGAAAGCTAAGGGGCCAGTTGCATAAGCTCAGAATCATTACACCTCCTCCTTACTAGAATATTTGGCCGTTTCAGAGGAGCTTTTTCGTTACTTTTAACACCTTTTCTTTATACTGCGACCTAATAGACGTGAACGGTTTTATTTATAGCAACATGGAAGGGAACGAAATAGCTGATGAGATGACTAAACACGGCTGGGAAATGCAAATTAGCGAAGCGGACAACTTCCTACTAGCACAGATTTCTGCTCTACTAAGGAGTTGGAGGTTAGAAAATACAACCCAGTCTTTACTAATAAACTTTTAATCAATCGGGACGACTGTAGAATCGTAGTAATCTACTGGCCGACACCCAATAGGAGTCGTACTGAAGAATTACTGGACGCTAAACAAATCTGCATATTTAAGAGCTCTTATCGGCTTCATTGCCGGACACTGTTCCATAGCACCAATGCTCCAACGATGGCGTATACCGCACAAGCTCCCTCTGCAGAGGAATGAATTCACCACTTCCTATGTCAAATGGCAAGCTGTCCAGCCAAGACATCTCAAGCATATTGGATCATGGTTTTTTAATAGTTTGGGAGAGATAACGGAGCTCCACAGCTTCATTCAGGATAGCAGACACTATAGGTACTGACAATATGGAAGAATGTGCCTCCTCCTGGCATTCATAGAGGAACGTATGAACCATTCGTAAGCGCCAGAGGCAGAAGAAGAAGGATAACGCAATACGGTCTACTGTACGTACGTACGCTTCTAACGGGTGATTTTTTAAGAGCTTGATAACTTTTTTTTTAAAAAAAACGCATAAAATTTGCAAAATCTCATCGGTTCTTTATTTGAAACGTTAGATTGGTCCATGACATTTACTTTTTGAAGATAATTTCATTTAAATGTTGACCGCGGCTGCGTCTTAGGTGGTCCATTCGGAAAGTCCAATTTTGGGCAACTTTTTCGAGCATTTCGGCCGGAATAGCCCGAATTTCTTCGGAAATGTTGTCTTCCAAAGCTGGAATAGTTGCTGGCTTATTTCTGTAGACTTTAGACTTGACGTAGCCCCACAAAAAATAGTCTAAAGGCGTCAAATCGCATGATCTTGGTGGCCAACTTACCGGTCCATTTCTTGAGATGAATTGTTCTCCGAAGTTTTCCCTCAAAATGGCCATAGAATCGCGAGCTGTGTGGCATGTAGCGCCATCTTGTTGAAACCACATGTCAACCAAGTTCAGTTCTTCCATTTTTGGCAACAAAAAGTTTGTTAGCATCGAACGATAGCGATCGCCATTCACCGTAACGTTGCGTCCAACAGCATCTTTGAAAAAATACGGTCCAATGATTCCACCAGCGTACAAACCACACCAAACAGTGCATTTTTCGGGATGCATGGGCAGTTCTTGAACGGCTTCTGGTTGCTCTTCACTCCAAATGCGGCAATTTTGCTTATTTACGAAGCCATTCAACCAGAAATGAGCCTCATCGCTGAACAAAATTTGTCGAT